TGATACTTGAGACTGCTTCAGGCTAAATGACGTGTTACATACGAAGGTGAAAAACAAAGACCTGCTGGACATTGTCTTCAGTGGAATGAATTTTTGTGGAAAACTGAGGAAGAGAACACTAAGCAAATGGCTTGAAGAGGACATAACCAACCATATCATTTCTGGTTGTTGTGGGGTTTTCAGGCTCTTTGGCCGTGTTCTGAAGGTTGTTCTTTCTAACATTTCACCAGTCCCTGTGGCCGGCATCTTCAGAGGACAGAAGTAGCACTCTGTGCTCTGGTAATATCATATCATTTCTCTTTTTCCCACACTGCTGTGTCTTTGGTGAAAAGAGCACTCGGTATAGCTGTCTTTTAAACTGAATACACATTTAGCTTACTTCTGTCATCAGATTCAAAATAAATTACTGGGTAGCTGTAACTAGCAAGTCACAATTCATCTCGATATATCTTCATTTAATATCCAGGCATTGAAACATGAATAAGTAAAATCTGAGAAAGGAAACATTACAGTTTTGGATGACAGCTAGTCATGGGTTATAATCCAAAAAGAAGCTTTTCCTATCTCTAAGTAAAATAAATAAAAGGCATGGAGCTTAATGGACAATTTGGAGGGTGTGTGTGCAATAATTGTTGTGTTGTTAAGAGACTCACTATACAAACAGTAATTATTCTGCATTCAAAATTGCTGTTGATAACCCTCTCTAATTTTCTGGAAAATTATTTAAAGCAATTCTGCACTGACAAAAACTGACAATTCTGGATGTGATGGGTGGATAGATTTACAACACTGGGGATGTAAGCTGCACGAGAATAATAAAGTTAGTGTTACTGTACTTCCATATCACCAAGAATGTTGGCCTGAGGAAACATGTCCTTCTAGCAAATACAATAAAGGTGTGGTGTTGGTACATAAAACACAGAAGCTTGGTATGAATGGTTTCAGAGAGAACAAATAATTGTTTTCAGAAAGGTGCGGTGAGAATGAGTTCACTTAAATGAAGCGAGTCTTGCACAATGCTCCTCAATATGTCTGCTGTTTCACTGGAATTTTCAAAAAGGTACCACAAGATGACTTCTATATTTTCAAATGGAGGATACAATTATTTCTATGGGTTCTCTTGAGGTAATATCAGGGTGTCTTCTAAGGAATGCCCACTAACATTTTGGAGGTGAAAACAGGGACTTCCATGAATATCGCAGAAAGGCCAGAGGTAGGGCAAAAACAGAGAAAAGTGACTGCCCGAAGGGATGACACGATTGCTGTGTCAAAGAGATGTCAACAGCACAATTCAGCTTACAAATTAAATGCATGTAAAGTATGTCGTTCCAGACAGCAAAAATGAGCTAGCCAAACAATACACTGAACAAGAAGTCAAATTCAAGCCGTATGGACTGAGCAGGAGATGTCTCACCAAAATTAAAGGGTGAGGCATCCCCCCCAACTCAGTGGGTCTATTGGACACTACAGCATCTCATCTATACATTATATCATTAAAACATATGTTAAATATTTATTCTGTGGTCCCATTTTAAAGCTGTGCATAGCAACAAATGACCAGAATTAATGATGGCTAACCCATCACAGACAATTTGAACAAATCATTTGCAATTCTATTGTCTTACAGTCCAAAGTACTTTGGCCAAGGGCACAGGCACAATTTTCTTTCCACTTTGTGGATCTTCTATTATAAGATACAGGAACAGATAACTCTACTGGTTTTATCTTATTTTTCTGAAGGATGCACTGAGACTCAGAGATAAATATGACTGCAAGAGAGAGGAGAAAAACTTCTTCTCTTCCTCCTGTTCTTTAGCTCCATTGTACAAATAAGGATAGATGTTATAAAGACAGATGTTGTATAAGATTAGTTTCTGTCCATGAGTATAGTTTAAAAATAATCAGAATCACCCAGAGAAGTAACCCAATAGAGTCTTTTATAACACTACTCCACACTGGATGATAAAAAGTCATACCTCTCAACAGGTTTTTACAGATGGGAGTGTAACAAAATAACTCATAAATCCACATGTTCATGTCCCAAGGTGTAATCCAAAAACAAGCTTTTCCTATGTCTAAGTAGAATAAATAAAAGGCATGGAGTTTAATGGACAATTGGAATCCCAGAGTGTTTATTTTCTTTCCAAGCAAGCACAAAGAATTCTACATGTCTCATTGGGAGTTCCTGGTTCTCTTCTAGCGTCATGGAGGAGTGGAATCATGCACAATCTTGTCATTCTGCTACGGGCCAGTGTCAAGGTGGCAAACACCTTCTCTCTGACTACCCCTCCCCAAGTATCCAAGAGGAAGTACTTTGTCATAAATGGTGGATAGCTTTTAATGGTCAGTCCTGCTAGCCCATGTCCAAATAAAAGTATACATATGGAAAGGAAACCACCACCAAGAGAGCAATTAAAAAAAACACCTAGAGGTAACAGTTTCCAGCCAGCCAGGAACCTTACTGAAGGATTTATCTGATAGTCTTACCTTCCTTTTAAATAAACAAATAAAAATGAAAACATTTCTGGAAGGGAGGCAGTTATGATGGGGAAACAGAGGGAGTGGGTGCTCAACTCTTTTCACTTTTGTTATTCGTCTGGCCCAAATTGCTCTCTGGTGGACTCTGTCCACAGGTTCTGGACTTTTGTTGGCCCCTGGGACTAGGATGACAAATTCTGGGCTTTGGGCATTTTCCCATTTGGTTCCAAAGCTATTTGCTGCCCCAGTACTCTCCTAAGGAACCAGAGTTGGACAAATTTAGACTAAGTCTGAAAAACTTTTGTTCAACTTGGAGCCGTAGGTATCAAGTGTAGGGAGGAGTGAGTGATTGACCAGCGTGTTTGTTTTTTACTTGAACTGGTATGTTAGTAGTTGGTTTGAGTCTTCTTGAATGACTGTCCATTCCAAGGAGTTGTATGTTGATGTGTATATGTCATGTCCAAATAACCAAAATCACTGTAGGGTGCAATATAAATAAATATTTATAAGTGGCTTCACCTCCCATAATTATTTTTGAAAGTAAGCTAACTGCAGATGGAGAAAAGATTAACCACCTCTGCCCACTGTGCTGATCAACCTCAGCTGTTCTTCATTAAAAGGCGTTGTCTTGTTACTGTAACAGGCACGATTGCATGTAAAATTGTAGCTTGGGATATTGCGAAGTACCAGAAGAGTACATGAATCTTTCAACTGAGAAAATAGCATGCTAAAAAGTTAGGATCCACCCAGAGATGTGCAATTCCAGTTGGGTCAAAATGAAGTGCAAATATTTTAAATGCTGTCGGAATTTTGCACAAAATATTAATGCCAATCCATTCCGCTTGCTGTGGGATATGTTTTATCATGTTGGTTTCTTTTATTCTTTCCCCTTACCTTTTCTGCTTGTTGGTATATCCACATGGATTACATCATTTCTTATAACAATAAAAAAGAAAAGAAAAACCAAGGCAGCCAAAATACAAATTGACATTTTATTCCTAAATGTATGTATATTTATGCAGCATCTTCTCTACCACATCCACTTGTGCAACAATCCAGAGCTTGCCCATGGAGATATTCATGACTCTTTGGAACAACAGACATTCTCTTTGTTTGTTTAGGGTGGTCTCTGGCTCATGAAACAGCAATCTGGAGATAGCATGGAGTGCTAAGATCATAGGGTGTTAGGTTCCATTATTTCTGGCAAGATTCCGGCTGGTGTATTTTTCAGAGACATGGAAACTGAAGTGTGAAGTCCTCTTGTTGTGAAGCATCCTTCTATTGCTGTTTATGTTCCTATTCCAGAGCAGTCCTGAGCTTGTTTTGCAGAGTTTGTACATGGAAGACAAGGTGCTGTCTTCAACCTCATGGTTGGCAGCACAGTGTGGATTGGCTCACTAATACTACATGGTGATGGAGGAGATATCTGATGAAGGAGGCAATTTTATCTATTCTTTGCTGGCATCACAAACATGCGAATGTGTTCAAACATTTGGGTTCCTTGAAAATAGTCTTGCTGTGCTCTTTCTGCTTGTACTGGGGAAGGAGATACAGTACCTAGGTTTGTCTCCTGTGAGAACATTTTTGTCTTCCCAAAAAGAAGCTTATACCTTGCTAGCCTCCTCACTATTGATGCCTTTCTCACTCAGAGTGGTTTAGAAGGAGAATCTACATGCCAATAGGCAGAAACATAAATAGACTCTAACTGCTGAATAGCTCAGTGGTTTAGGCATCTGGCTATAGAGCCAGAGAGGTTGGGAATTTGATTCCCCACTTGGCCTCCTTGACAGGGGTTAGACTTGATGATCTAGAGCAGTGGTCCCCCAACCTTGGGCCTCCAGATGTTCTTGGACTACAACTCCCAGAAGCTTTCATCAGCACCTCTGCTGGCCAGGATTTCTGGGAGTTGAAGTCCAAGAACATCTGGAGGCCCAAGGTTGGGGACCACTGATCTAGAGGGTCCTTTCCAGCTCTGAAGTTCTAAGATTATGATGGTGATGATGATGATGTGTCATTAGACATATAGAATCTACGTATGTCATTAATAGGAATATCACCTCTTTCTTTCAGCAGAATGAGTTGTTTAAGTGGTAGATTCATGGTGGTACACCAGCCAAAATGAAGAGATTAACCAAATATTTTCTTAACGGAAGGACAACACCCTGCTCAGAAACAGCTCCCATGTGAAACATCAACACTGTAGAGAGCACAAAACCAAGCCCAATTACCTCACTGTAACCATAACCATACAAACTTAGTTTCCTCCCTCCAATGTTTTCAAGCATTGGGTTGCTTAAAGGAAATTTACCCTGGTGCAAGTGTGAAGAAACATAGCTTCCATGAGTAATTTCTCAATAGCCGAGGTGGATTAAAGCTGAAGAGACAGCAAGAATAACATAATGTTGTAGTACAATGCTTTCTTTTGCCATGTTACCTCTTACAGGAAGAAACATAACTCAATTAAGAACATATTAAAATAACTTATGGCTACAATAAATAATGTAAGTGGCATATACCTGATCCACTTGAGATTTCTGTTGTTTGAAATGCCAGCTTCTTTCATGCTGGAGCTGATGACATCAGTAAAATATTCGCCCTGCCCAAACTGTATTCCTGTGTCAAAAAGCCAAAGTCATTCAGTCTGTACATGATTTCCAGCCCACATAATGTCTTGTGTTGAATTGTCTGAATATGTACTTTGGCATGTGAAAAGGGCACAGTATTTATGCAAGTTAGGATGCCTGCTAGCATGCATACCTAGGAGACTGTGTAAAATATTAGCATATAGATTAGAAAGGCTCCTTCATGGCTGCAATTATGTATTAGCAGCAGGTAAGCACAGAGTTCAGAATATTCTTGAATTTCAAAATGCATGACCTGTTTCCTCTAGAATTCCACTCGTGTATAGAAGCAACTGTTGATCTGCGGATACCGCATACACCAAACAAATGTGTCAACTGTGTTCAAGATGAAGATATTTTAAATTTAGCTATTTAAAGCCATATATCACCAAATCAAGACAAAATATCCCTAGCACCACTGCCAAAAATAACAGAATCCAGCACTAAAATTTTTTGAAAACAATAAATAAATAAACATGAAATCTAATAACACTTAGTTCATAGTTTAAATGTCTCCATAAAAAGCAAAGTTTCAAAAGTTACTTTTAAGAAGCAGTTAGTTACCACTCTACTTCCAACCGCTTGACAGGGATAGAGAGAGGTGTTGTCAATAAAGTTAAATACAGTCAGTTTTTAAAGTTACTATTTCTATTCCCCATTTTGTGAAAACAACTAAAATATGTATTCGCAAAGGCTTTCACGGCCGGGATCTAATGGTTGTTGTGGGTTTTTTGGGCTCTTTGGCCGTGTTCTGAAGGTTGTTCTTCCTAACGTTTCACCAGTCTCTGTGGCCGGCATCTTCAGAGGACAGCACTCTGTGCTCTGGTGTAGTTGGCTTGGGAGTGGAGACAACTTTCAGAACACAGCCAAAGAGCCCGAAAAACCACAACAACCACAACTAAAATAGTTCTTTTTATTTACATTTTTTAAAAAAAGAAATATCTGAATACAAGCTACTGGCCTTGTGTTACAAGGCATGCTCCTCTCCTATTCACCTTGATATCACTTCAACAAAGCATCATTCCAGCGTGCTAGGATGATCTGTTACAGATCTCAAATGGCTATTGGAGGAAAAAAAAGGACTTACCATGCAAGACAGAGCAGAATTTGGCTGCTTAACAAGGTCTGGGGCATCTTTAGGTATCTTAGTACTGTAGATATGAAGACTTCTCAGCACACTATATATATTAATAACCTAGTTTTCTGTAATATCTTATAGGTTTAAAGTAGTCTTCTCCCCTGCCAGACTCTGACTTCTGTCCCATAAACAAGTCTTAGTAGTTTGGTGACAGCCAAGTCTAACTAGCTAACCACTTTAGCCAGGATCTACTAATTAAAGGCCTGCCAATCCCATTGCTATGTTACAAAGCATTGTCATTTAATCTGTTATCCACATCTTCACCTGGACATGAACACCACCACCATGAACTAAACACATACAGAAAATGTGTGATTGCACACCTGTGTTTGAACAAGTGGATTTTGACCCTCAGAATTTTGCAATGAAATAAAATTGTGAGTTTTTAAAGTACTACAATATTTTGCTTTTTGCTTTTCTTGTGCCAACATGTATCTGTACTTACACATATCTGTACAACTAAAGAATGAAGCTATCTCTTGATAAGTTACAGTAGCATGTAATGTAAATATACCTTAGCTACTAGAGAAGAAAATCATTTCAAGTAACTTATTACTCCCCAACTCTGCTAAATAGGGTTCTTCTAATCTTCTTGTGTAAAGCAGTTAGAGAGGAAGTGAGATGGGCTTTTCTCTGTGGCAATAATTTTAATATATCCCCATCTACCTAAAACAGAATATTAAATGCTAATCTTTCCATTACTACATCCATCGTCACGTTCATCCCCTACTCTACAACCCAGAATAGTCAGTAATAAAATGTTATAAACATATTTAAATACTGTACTGAAAAAACAGAGCAGCATAAAACAAATTGAGAGAAAATTAGGAAAAAGTCACGAGGACACAACAGGTTAAACCAACCAACTGACTTCATCAGGAACACGAAAAATGGGCTTCTGATCCATGAATTTCACTGCTATATAAAACCTTGTTCTGGATGTTGTTGAAGGGATGGGCAGATTCTTATGCCATCAGAAAAATTATGGGAAGTTATCATACCTGCCAGGTCTTGATGCTAATTTCACATGGTTGCACAACCTTCTGGGGAATTTTGGTGGAAGTCGGCTCAGAGGTGGCAACTTCTAAACCTTAAGACTGTCAGTCTTCCTAAAACAAAGGGATTAAAATTAGAGTAAGTACTCTTAAGAGCTCATTCTGATATGCTGAATACAAAGCTGATTCAAACATGTGGTATCATGCCCTATAAAATGGTATGTTTTCACAGTGCAGGATGGAAACTATTTGTTTTAGAGTAAAGATGAAAAACCTTTGAGGCATTGTGCTTTCATTTGGCTCTTGAGGGCTTCATCTCCTGCATCCTCATAACCTTCCCCAAAAGGGGAGGGCATAGTTTCCTATAATGTAATTTTGAGGGGGTGGAAAAGGAATTTTGAGAAACAGGAAATGTATCACACATCAGTCTCTCTGTACATGGAAAAGGGGACATGGAGGTGCTGTGGGTTAAACCGCAGAAGCCTCTGTGCTGCAAGGTCAGAAGACCAGCAGTTGTAAGATCGAATCTACACGACGGAGTGAGCTCCCATCACTTATCTCAGCTCCTGCCAACCTAGCAGTTTGAAAGCATGTAAATGCAAGTAGGTAAATAGGTACCACCATGGTGTGAAAGTAACGGCGTTCCGTGTCTAGTTGTGCTGACCACATGACCATGGAAACTGTCTATGGACAAATGCTGGCTCTACAGCTTGTAGACAGGAATGAACACTGCACCCTAGAGTCAGACATGAGTAGACTAATGGAAAAATTGAATTAAAAACCTTACACAGTGTTGTTCTCTGTGGTATGCTGTGACAATTCCTCTCTCTCTTCCCCCCCCCCTCACCTTAGGAGCTACTGTAGGGAGATAGTGGAAGAGTTTGTTCTAAGGAGGTTATAATAATATTCTGAGGAGGTTCTTAAGTGGTAAAACTGGTATTAACTTTAATTAGTTTAGAAGAGGTCGCCATGTGAGTCTATGCTAGGATATCAGGCAAAAACAAAATAAAGAATAAAGACAAAAAAAATCCTAGCACCTTAAAGATTAATTGCTATATTTTAATGTGAGCTTTTGTGACCATGTCTGAAGAAGTGGTATTGTCCATGAAAGCTCCCATTAAAACATAGCACTTAGTCCTCAAGGTGCCACAGCATTTTTGTCTTCTTTATTTATTTTTTACCTTTAGTTACATAGCAAGCAGTCACACACATTTGTTGTTTTTTTCCTTACATAAGAGTATGCTGCATTTGGGAAACATAAGTCAGACAGGTGTTCCTATCATGAGTGAAGGTTTGTTTTAAAAACCTCTTTGCCCCCTCCTCTAGTCCTGATTTATACTTTGTCCTGTCTGTAGTGCCTCATTGGCAAGTGGCATAAGGGTAGGGATGAGCTTTCATTAGAAAATCAGAAAACATCTTCACATTGTCTGCGGGAGTACTGCTTATGTATTTTCTTGATCCAGTACAATTAACTGTCTTGTTTATGCTTGGAAGTGGCACTGCATGCTAACGTCTGCCATAGAGTATTTGTTAGTGACAGAGGAACACATTTATGTACCAGACAGGCAGGTGATGTTTGCTAGTTTTGGATCCCATCTTTAACACTTTTATCTAAAAAGATTTGGGGAACTTCTCCACAAGATGTCAGAGCTCTGTGCAAGACTTGTGCTTCAGAGCTGACAGCACTGGGTGGGATAATGGGTTAAACAGAACCTCTGTTTCAAGTTAAGATAGCATCTTATAGCACACTGCTGCACAGTTACAGGCTACAGTATATAAAAAAATATTGTCACCTAAGTAGATGATTTGTAGAAATATCCCAGTCTGATCTTACTATTAGACGGTCTGAAGCAACCATCTTAGGAAAACAATACTGATGGGCAGCAGTCATAACCCTCTCCTAGTCCTCTGAGGTTTGCCAGGCATTTTAATCTGTCTGAGCATGGAGCTGCATGTACAATCTGGATTGGCCCTCATATCCAAATCTAATGTGCTGTTCTAAGGGAAGAACACTTTTGTAATCAACATTACTGAGGTGAAATTCAAGTGGGTTGGGGAAAATTCTTGTCACTTGCTTCCACATTGTAAAATACCTTAAGCCATCTCTGGAAATATTCTTACCTTAGCCAGAGAAAGGATGTTCCCATTCTCAAAATCTGAAAGGAAATTAAAATACAATAGCTTAAACAACTTAAGGAAATTTGTAGATAAAGCACACTTTATTAGGGATTTTTTTTGATGGCATGTATGAGATATGTACATCCAATCATTCAATATGTAAGAGGAAGGAATATTGGGATCATACTCTCTCATGCCCACAAATAGATTAGGGTTGTTTGGTATAACTTGTGAAAGAGTATGTGTGAGTCAACAAAGCAAAAAAGACAGTGGGGACCCCTGTACACATGTGGACGGTTCATGTGACTGGGTGGTCTGTTGAAGGAAGGGCCCTCAACTGGACTGAGAGAATAATGCCACGGAACTATCCCTGTGTATTCCTAGTGCGGTGTAGTGGATAGAGTGACAGGTTAAGACTCTGGAGAACAGGATTCGAATCCCCATTTGGCCCCGGAAACTCACTGGGTGGGTGAGTGGGTGGAATTAGTAAAACCACTCCTTAAATACCTCACTTACCTTGGAAGCCCTATTAGGGTTGCTATAAGTCATTTCTGACTTGACGGCACAGAACACGTGCACTATCCATGTGAGAGGAAAGCCAGTAAGTGTAATCAGTTTTCCCCTTTTATAAGTGTTAAGTGTCCATATCTTCAATGTGGGTAAGACTCTACTGTTAATCAGCTTACATTTGCTTTAGAAATGTAAGCTTGTGAATTCTAGTAGACCATATTTCGGTTTTCCCTTTAACATTTAGTTTTTAAAAACACTTGAGTGTTTTTGGCTAGAGGCTACAAATGTTTATGGACAAGTTGCAACTGTTGCTTTAGATGGAATTTTAAAAGATAGATATAGTGTGATAGATTTGCTGACGTAGGTCCATCGGCAGTTCTATTAAATTATATAGCAGTAAACCCAGCAGATAGTTAAAATCCTTTTGAAATACATGAGTTATATCATTATAAAGACAACATATTCCTACCTATACACAAAAGGACTGATTTTTATCCTCACAGTGCCTCGATAATTATAATGTTAAACTCATAAAATGTGATTGTTGCATGCAGACACAGATCAGCTAGATCTTGGCAGGTGGAACAATTGATGACACCCCCCAACCTCAAAGGAAATTAACCTGTGATATTTTGTGTAAACTATAGTGGTGGGCAAAGAATGTTATGGTATGTCTTTTAAATAACATCACAAGCTAGTGATTTATGCTTGGCACATTCAATTAGCAGTCTGTCTCATATGTCTCAGAGTGAGCAAAATGAAAAATTTCCATATATACCTTTTACCTTTTGTCCATCAAGCTCATTATTGTCTAGAGTGACTCCACGGTTTCAGAAGTGAGTTTTTCTGGCTGTACCGGGAGATGTAATGGATTGGACCTGGAGCTGTTGTGTGCAAAGCATGTGCACTGCCCATAAGCTATGGTCTTTCTTCAATAATGCAATGATATTGAACAATCATAGCTGAGATCACTAAAAAAATCCTCTTCAACCCTATGATAATTATGGGTGCCAGAGGATATGGTGACGTCCAGTGGCACAATGTTATGAGCCTATTCTGGGTTTTAGGCTGAACTTTAATGGAGCTAGACAAGGTGCTAAGCCTCTCTCTCTCTCTCTCTCTCTTTGAGGATAGGGTTCAATAGTCTATGTGCATTTGGTTTCAAGAAGATAATGACATGAATATTGTCATATCTTTGTAGTGAAACAGATTTTGGCTAGTAGAGAATCCATATGTTATAAGGGAGAAAAACACATTCACGTGTGTCCTGAAAGTCAAGCAAGCCATAGAGGTCTGTGCAGTGACACTCAGAGCCCCATCAGTTTTCAAACTGCCTAGTTCATTTCCAAAGAACTACTTGCCTTTAGTTTTGGAGGTAGAAGCTAGAGCTTGTCAGCCCCACCACCCATCACATGCATACTAAGAAAACCCCATTTACTGTGCTAGAATAAACATTTGTAATCCTGTCTACTACCAATTCATGAATGAATGACAAAATGGGAAACATTTGTGTGTAAAAAAACTTGCATCGTAACATGTGCATATTCTACATCAATTTCAAACATTCCATGAAGGAATGGTTGATTTTTATTGACAAGTCATAATGGCCTTGGCACTTTCTACATGAATTAGTCACATTCTGTGTGAACTAAGATACTGTACTGTATGCCCTTACATAATATATCTTGTTTAACAGAAACAAAACAAAGTAAAAGAAAAGAAAATACAGAAACCAAACAAATTGTTAATATACAAATAGCAACCAAGTGTTGATTTACCATAAGTTTCCCTTTATCTTTCGAACCTATGGACCTCCATCTGCCAAGTATATCATGGCAACTAAAAAGGGTACAATGTGAAGAACCCCCAGTTCAGTTTTAAATCTTTTGGTATGTCTTAAGGGTTTCCTTTGAAACAAAATCCTGATGAACGCTATAAACAGAATCACTCATTCATTGGTATAGCACACATTTTTTTGCATTCCACTTCAGTATACAGCATCTCTGATTAAATATTTCTTATGTGGCAATAATGGAAAGTTTTGCCCCTAAGATGTTAGTCATCATCGGCTGCATTATTAGGAAAGATAGTAACCCAAACAGTTTTAGGGCCAAAGTGAGGGCTTCTAAGCTTTTTCCATCATAATGATTTTAATAGTCTTCTCCTGTTAAGACCATTGCCCATCTACCAGCTATTTCCCATCTGTTGATACTAAGTAATTAGGCCACTGTGGCATTTCCACATCCTGAAGACTATAGCTAGCTCAACAACAGCTGAGTTCTGTGATCTAGCACATTGTCTCCACCTCAGAATTCCTAAATGTGAAGTATTTTGGCAAAAGGTGCCTAAGAACTTTGCCACAAATCTTCGTTTCATAACTTCCTTTCATCTTCCTGCTATTCATATTGTGAAACAGTGTCGGGTCCCAAATGTTTGAGGAACCTGGAGCAAGATGGGCCACCTCTCACTATGATTCTGCTTTCTCAATGCTATTATCAACAGTTACTGTCACTTCTACTCCTCTTCTACCACATAGATTCAAGGAGCTACTTTTCAGTCTTTCTATTTGTAGGTCCCTCCTTCCCTTTTCTAAGCTTGTACAGAGTTTGAGGGGGGAAAATATTTTAAACGAAAGCTTCGCAAAATCTTAGCTGCCACGGGCACATGAATTTTGGAATTTATAATCCAGAAAATCAACTCTGCCGAGTTCCAGTCCTATAGAAGCTTCAATTTACATAGATTTGTGAAGGATTACCATCAGTGTTTCAGAACTGGGCCCCAATATTTTAAGTTCAGTTCTGAAATCTAGGGCACATTTGCAGTAGTATACACCAGACCATGGGCTATGAGATTTTAAGAAACACCCCACAACAAGAAGTGTGCATGTTTGTATATCGGGAACATCATGTAGAACAATAGCTATAATGGTGTGTTCAGGAATCATATGAAGCCTCCTTCAGAAACAGATGGAATAACCAAGTGCATCACTTCCTTGAAACATATGATCACAGATCCCTCAAGACCAAGGAAAGATAATTTTCTCAATTGATATTGACCATGCTCTGCACACGTAGTTCAGATCTTATCTGATCGATATGTGACCACTGTCTTCTTCCATTTCATCCCCAGAGTCAAATGTCCCAAAAAATAAAGTGGAGTTTTTTTATTTCTTTGAAAAATATAAAGATGTTCCATATACAGTATATGTGTCACAGATTTCTCCTCCTCACCCTTCCTAATATATATCAGTATGCTTTGTAGACTTGAACAGAATCAGTGTGGTTAAAATGTACTTTGTCTTCCATCAGGACATGGAAAAATGATCCATGACTTTCCTTAGGTACCTTGGTTGTGTCACTCTTTCCTCCAAACAATGTTACAATAAAATATTAATCCCACCTTGGAAGGAGTTATTATGTGCCATGAAGTTGCTTCTTACTTATGAAAACATTTTTAATGTATGTCAGATACGTATTCGCAAAGGCTTTCACGGCTGGGATCTAATGGTTGTTGTGGGTTTTTCGGGCTCTTTGGTCGTGTTCTGAAGGTTGTTCTTCCTAACGTTTTGCCAGTCTCTGTGGCCGGCATCTTCAGAGGACACACTTTGTACTTTTCTCTGTGCTGTCCTCTGAAGATGCTGGTCACAGAAACTGGCAAAACGTTAGGACTGGAACCTTCAGAACATGGCCAAAGAGCCAAAAACCCACAACAACCGTGTGTCAGATACTTAGGGAGTAGCTTAGGATTGCTGCCACCCACTGAAATTCCATGGCTAAGCAGGGATCAAGAACCCAGGTCTTCTGTTCTGATACCCTTTCCACTATTCCACATCAGGTCTCCTTGCAAGATGAATAGAGTACAAATATGGCAAACAGTAAGTTGATATGAACTGAAGAAACCATGACGGCTGTATACATATGTAGCGGGCACGCTGAAGCCTCTATTGTCTCAGGCCTCCAGAAGGGCTCACTCTTCCTACTCAGTTGCTGCCACCAATAGTATCAACTATTCAAGAAGACAAGTGTTGTTTTAAAACTAAAACGTGTTTATTTGAATAACAAAATAATACGGGCAAATCACAGGTTGTTAATCAAGGTCTCTCACTCACTGACACACACAGGCTCTTCTCTCACTGACTTTTTGGCTCACAGGCCCACAGACACACTAATCTCTAACTCTCTCAAAATTCCTTCACAATCTCCCTCACCAACACCATACACACCCCTTTATATCCCAGCTCCTCCCCATTTAGCACCACCTTCCGTACCCTCATTGGCTGCTGTTCCACTGCCCAGCTGTGACGGACAGGTGAGGGCAGGGCTGAACGCTACAACATAGTCTAAAGGCCGTGTAAAAGTATCTCAGGCTTTACACTTGATCTGCAAATCATGTATGGCAGATGCACATTTTAAAAAAGTGAAATAATGCGTACATTGAAATGCATACTTTGCTGATAGGATAACTCCTCTTCAATCAGTAGCTTCTGGCCATCAGCTGATAGGGCACATCAGATACTCTTAAGTGCATGTG